TTAAACTCGGGCATTGGGCGAATAGGTACTGAATGTGCCATGCTGACTGTTGTTAGATTGTTAGGTTGTTGTTCCATAAAATTTACTCCTCGTCGCCAATGTAATATCTAAGTACTAGGTATATATTTGTGCTATAGAATATATTTAGTATAACATAACGATATTGTTCTTATTGGTGTTTTAGTGTGTGTGTGTTCCTTCTACACAACGTGTCCTATATCTCTATATATATTTAGTTCCGACCGTATAGTCCTGGTGCCGAGTGAATGACATGACGCCATTACTATAATTACTGTTGTTGTGCATTAAATAAATGCATAAATTTTGCTTTATGCACTCGCGTGTGCAATAATTTTGACAGTTGTGCTATTTTAAATTCCTAGGCGCCTAAAATCTTTTGTCTTTAAAACCATGTCGATTTCTTGGGAAATTCCGAGGTTGCGTTTTTTTTTATACACCCTGTATAATCTACTTCATCTTCGTAGATTCAAAATGGCTAACTTAAGATTCAACGAAGATTACCATAACTCTTTTGACCCAAAATCGTTTCTCGAACAGTTTTATGGAAAATTGAAGGGAGACGAAAATGAATATGGATCTCCTGTGCGGATTATTAAAGCATTTCACGAGTTTTGGTCGACCTTTAAGGCACCAACAGACACGGAACTGACGGAAGTTCGATATCTCGATTTTGGTGGTGGACCAAATATAGCCAATCTTGTTTTTGCTTGCCCAAAAGTGGATCATATTGTCTTTGCCGAGTATACAGAAGTGAATAGAGAAGCCGTGAAATCGTGGATTGCTGGCGACACTGACGCTTTCGACTGGATGCCTTTAATTGAAATCGCTGTTCTTGAACTCGAGCAAGGACGTGGCATTGTAGAAAGTCCTGTTTTACGAACAGACAAAGAGAAGCTCGACTGTGTAAATCGTGCTAATGAACTGAAACGAAAAATAAAATCTGTTATCCCATGTGACGTGACCAAAGTACCAATAGTTGAACTTGGTACTGATGATGTTGCTAAACCGTTCGACGTCGTGTCCACCAGTTTCTGCCTAGAGTCATGTGTGTCTTCTGAGGTGCACTATAAGAAAACCGTCGCAGAACTTTGCAAATTACTCAAACCAAATGGTTATCTGTTCATGATCGGCGTGCTGAAGGAGACTTTTTATATTGTCGGCGAAGAAAAGTTTTCTGTCTTTCCACTGACTGAGAAAATGGTGAAAGAAGCAATGAATGAAGTCGGAATGGAAATTGTGAAATTTGTATCAACTCCAATACTGCACTCAACAGAGCTTGGAGATGGTAAATTCATATATTATACTTATTGCAAGAAATCTGCGGCCAGAAAGTGACAATGAACACAAACTTGCAACAATTGTTGCTTGAATTTAGTATTTGAGCCTGTTGGTTATGCATCTATCAATGTTAGGCCGGCGGGGGGTAGGCCGACGGGGGGGGGGGGGCGGAGTTGACATTCAAACAAAATTTTGTGTCAAATTCCCTACCCCAGGGATTCAAGTGCTGGTCAAATCAATCCATTCGATCGTACCCAGGGGCAATTAAAACTGTTTCAAAGAGATTTCTTAGTTCTCAAATTAAGTCTGTATTTAGAAATCATAGGACTATTACGGCCAATTTTGTCAAAATTTATTCTAGATTTTCTGTTGAAGTATGGATTTGTTTGAGAAGGCATATCCAACAATTGCAACAATTGTTTTTCCTATGATTTCTGAATATGGACAATTGCCTCATATATAATTTCAACCTGCTTGTCCGTATATCAGAGGGAAAACACTTGTTCATGTTGAATATATTACGTGAAACATAAATACAATTTAATTTTTGAAATAATTTAAACAAAGTGGTTAATATCATAATATCCACATCTTGACAAATAAATGTTCGTATTCTATTATTTATATTGCTTCAAGAGAAGTACATTGTAATACAAGACCAAAAATGTTTCATTTATGATGAATATTAAAAAGCCATTCATGAATATTAAAATGAGAAAAATCAAAAGTTTATGTCGTATTCAGTATTCCCTGCCATTTTTCAAAACTGACGACACGTGATTTGGTGGCAAAATTTATCCCAGATGTTCTGGAGATGCCACTGTGTCCCTGCTCATTATATATGCAAAATGACAACAATTTTTAAAATTTGTCAAATACCCTGCTCCCGGGACTGTACTGATCGTCAAATTCCCCACTCACGGTATTTCCTTCCCCCCCCCCGCCCCCCTAACATTGATAGGTGCATTATTACTGTTAGGCTGTTAGCATATACCTACTTTCCTGTAAATTTATCAGCTGTTGTTTACAACTTCATAATTATCACTTATTTACTGAGACCTCGGGAAAGCAGTGTGTTTTGTGGACCCGAGACCGTCGATGTTTCCCGAGGCGAAGCCGAGGAGAAACATTGAGGGCCCACAAAACACACTGCTTTCCCGAGGTCTCAGTAAATAAGTGTTTTATTATGTATTAATAGTCAAAGAAACAACAAATTAATTAAAGAACAAATGAACGTAAATACATGAAATATTTTATTGTTAAAACGTTAAATTACTTATTAAAATTAGTTGTGAAGTATCAGGTCATACCTGAAGGGTACAAATGCGCATGGGCGTATGGGCCTAATCTTGTTGTTTTTTTGTGTTTTTTTTTTGGGGGGGGGCATATAAATAGAGCCTGATACTCAGGTTACCACTTGTAAAATTAGGAAAACATCGCTGTATACGCTGTGTATTTATGTACTTAACATAATTGTTTCATATGAGAAACAAAGGTTATGAGAAACTAAGCAGGAGTGAAAAGTCGGCGCTGCATGATACAGCTAGGCTTCGAACGCGCAATAATCAGCTTTATTTATCAACCATAATTAGTAATATTCCAAAGTTTCGTTGCGAAATGTTGTGAAATGCGGATAATATAGCCTTGCGAAGTTTGCAATTTTCAGTCGTTTTAGATTACAAACGGGAGATGCATACCTCCTTCGGAAAAAGAGTATGTATTTCCCGTTTGTAATACAAAATGACTGAAAATTGCAAACTTCGCAAGGCTATATTATCCGCATTTTACAACATTTCGCAACGAAACTTTGGAATATTACTAATTTTGTGATGCTCTTTCAAGCTGTGATAAATTTTTTTTCTAAACTTGTTGAGATCGAAATTTTAGTCAAAAGGTGAAAGGTCGATTAAACGATCAGAATTCAATAAGGTATTATATAACATATAATCTACTTCGTACTCTTCGTAGATTCAAAATGGCTAACTTAAGATTCAACGAAGATTACCATAACTCTTTTGACCCAAAAATCTACCTCGAACAGTTTTATAAAAAATTGAAGGCAGACGAAAATGAATATGGATCTGCTGTGCCGATGATTAAAGTATTTCACGAGTTTTGGTCGACCTTTAAGGCACCAAAAGGCACGGAACTGACGGAAGTTCGATATCTCGAGTTTGGTGGTGGACCTTCCATAGCCAATCTTATTTTTGCTTGCCCAAAAGTGGATCACATTGTCTTTGCCGAGTATGCAGAAGTGAATAGAGAAGCCGTGAAATCGTGGATTGCTGGCGACCCTGACGCTTACGACTGGATGCCTTTAATTGAAATCGCTGTTCTTGAACTCGAGCAAGGACGCGGCATTGTAGAAAGTCCTGTTTTACGAAAGGACAAAGAGAAGCTCGACTGTGTAAATCGTGCTAATGAACTGAAACGAAAAATAAAATCTGTTATCCCATGTGACGTGACCAAAGCACCAATAGTTGAACTTGGTACTGATGATGTTGCTAAACCGTTCGACGTCGTGTCCACCAGTTTCTGCCTAGAGTCATGTGTGTCTTCTGAGGTGCACTTCAAGAACACCGTCGCAGAACTTTGCAAATTACTCAAACCAAATGGCTATCTGTTCATGAACGGCGTGCTGGAGCAGACTTTTTATTTTGTCGGCGACGAAAAGTTTTCTGTCTTTCCACTGACTGAGAAAATGGTGAAAGAAGCAATGAATGAAGTCGGAATGGAAATTGCGAAATTTATATCAACTCCAATATTGTACTCAACAGAGCGTGACGACGGTAAATTCATATATTATACTTATTGCAAGAAATCTGCGGCCAGAAAGTGACAATGAACACAAACTTGCAACAATTGTTTCTTGAATTTAGTATTTGAGCGTGTTGGTTATGCACCTATCAATGTTAGGCCGGCTGGGGGTATGCTGGCGGGGGCGAAGTTGACATTCAAACAAAATTTTGTGTCAAATTCCCTACCCCAGGGATTCAAGTGCTGGTCAAATCAATCCATTCGATCGTACCCAGGGGCAATTAAAACTGTTTCAAAGAGATTTCTTAGTTCTCAAACTGAATAATTCATAAAGGAAGTATATTAAGTCTGTATTTAGAAATCATAGGAATATTACGGCCAATTTTGTCAAAATTTATTCTAGATTTTTTGTTGAAGTATGGATTTGTTTGAGAAGGCATATCCAACAATTGCAACAATTGTTTTTCCTATGATTTCTGAATATGGACAATTGCCTCATATATAATTTCAACCTGCTTGTCCGTATATCGGAGGGAAAACACTTAGCTTGTTCATGTTGAATATATTACGTGAAACATAAATACAATTTAATTTTTGAAATAATTTAAACAAAGTGGTTAATTAATATCATAATATCCACATCTTGACAAATAAATGTTCGTATTCTTTTGTTTATATTGCTTCAAGAGAAGTACAATACAAGACCAAAAATGTTTCATTTATGATGAATATTAAAAAGCCATTCATGAATATTAAAATGAGAAAAATCAGAAGTTTATGTCGTATTCAGTATTCCCTGCCATTTTCCAGAACTGACGACACGTGATTTGGTGGCAAAATTTATCCCAGATGTTCTGGAGATGCCACTGTGTCCCTGCTCATTATATATGCAAAATGACAACAATTTTTAAAATTTGTCAAATACCCCTGCCCCCGGGACTGTACTGATCGTCAAATTCCCCACTCACGGGATATACTTTCTCGTCAAATCCCGCCCCCTTGCCCCACCTCCCCCCCCCCCAACCGGCCTAACATTGATGGGTGCATTATTACTGTTAGGCTGTTAGCATATATCTACTTTCCTGTAAATTTATCAGCTGTTGTTTACCACTTCATAATATCACTTATTTACTGAGACCTCGGGAAAGTAGTGTGTTTTGTGGACCCGAGACCGTCGATGTTTCCCAAGGCGAAGCCAAGGGAAACATCAAGGGTCCCAAAACACACTGCTTTCCTGAGGTGTCAGTAAATAAGTGTTTTATTATATATCAATAGTCAAAGAAACAACAAATTAATTAAAGAACAAATGAACGTAAATACATGAAATATTTTATTGTTAAAACGTTAAATTACTTATTAAAATTAGTTGTGAAGTATCAGGTCATACCTGAAGGGTACAAATGCGCATGGGCGTATGGGCCTAATCTTGTTGTTGTTTTTTTTTTGGGGGGGGGGCACAGTATTAGTTTGCCCGACCGCTTTGCTTTGCTTACACAGTACCGATATACAACATTGTTCGAGATTTTATCAGGGCCTTTTTTAAGGATTTTCCCATTGTGGGGGGGAGGTGGCATTTTTTGAAAAGGGACCTTCTGTGAGATAATATATTAGTGGGGGATAGCCATGTGGCCAACATACCACACATTAATCCCTAGCGGGGTCTGGGGGCACGTACTCCCCCCAAAAATGTTCTGAAGCCCGGAAATGCAATTTCCTGCATTCTGAGCATCCAAATTTGCTCTAAAATTTATGCTAACTATACTGTATTTGTACTCTCAAAACTCAAAACTTCACCCCTCCTATTTTGTGTGAAAGTCTTTAATCTTAACGCCAAACCCATGTCAAAGCTCGCTGAGTGGTGCCGCTTGCACCCCACCAGAAATTTTTCTACCCCTTCTTTGACCCTTGTTGACGTTTGCGTGCAAGCTATTCGCATGACAAAGCACTGTAAACTCTATTCAGGGGAGATTATAATAGAGTTTCAAAACTTTACAATTTATCCAATAAACCAGTGAATGCAAGCGAGGAGCGATTAGTTTCAGAGTGTTGCACTGTCTTTTTCTGTTCGAGTGTACTCCTACGTTTATTTTGTATCATCAACACTCTGCACGTTGGAGTGGACTGTTTAATTATTTATTTATTATGCCGAAAATTGGGGCGGGGGGGGGGTGAAAATGTTTTTGGAGGGGTGGACATTTTGTTTGGGGGGTTATAGCTACTATTTGGGGATATCACCCCCCTGCACCCCCAGAAAATCCGTCTATGGTAATTTTCCCTCTTGAAACCAGTACGCATTAAATATACTGATTATTACTCAACGGAAATAGCTAAATTAAGTACCGCGTTTTACACCTCGTCAATTTTGTCAAGTGACTCAAGTCCAAGCAGTTTGTTACTGCGTGTACTTGAAATCTAAAGGCTCTTTACACTTTGCGATTGTCTTCTTCTGACGGATGTGAACGAGTGGATGAGTTATGAATGTTCACATGAGGGTTCATCAGTGAACTCTATAAAGGGAACTGGAACGATAACGTGGCGGCCATCTTTGAAGCCAAATTGAAGGCCGCCATGTACGTATGGAGTGGAAAATACGCCACCAAAAAGATGTCTGTTTTCGACCACTAAATAGCTGTATTTCAACAAGGAAAAAAGCTAAAAACTTTCAACAATACCTGAAATTTAATACAAAACATGTTTCCAGAACGTAGAGCAGTTATAAAGTTCTTTTTTCAGGAGTCAAAGTGCGAAGTTTTTTTCGGCACGTTCAAACTTGTGTAATATTTTGAATATCAAGCTGTTACCCAGGAAGTTTTTGCTGTTAGTGGATGTAAAATACTTAGAACTATCCAGGAAACCAGGTTTGAATCTTTAAAGTTGAAGCCTTTTGATAAAAAAGTACTTTTTCTTGTTGATTTTCGCTCAAAAACAAACTTTTGACTGAATTTCCCGCTCCTCGAAACTCTCCCCAGTCCTTTTGAAAGTTAATTTATTGCTGGCCGTGCTCGCGAGAAGCGCCATTTTGGCTTCAGGCAAGTATGGGCATGTTTATCTGCAGTTAGCGTTCCAGTGTTATTACAGTTCACTGGGGTTCATATACTCACAACATTCATTACTCATCTACTCGTTCACATCCATTAGAAAAAAGAAAATCGCTCTAGAAATCGCAGCGAAAATTGCAAGTGTAAACGGGTCTTCTTAATGCATCCGAATTTGAGGTTTCGGGGTTACTTAATGTATACCGATTTGCAATTGATATCACACAGCTTTTCCCTAAATGCCAGTGGCGACACAACGGGTTTTATTGGGGAGAGGGGGTGGGGCTAATTTTCAGCTAAGATGAGTATCGTAGTTTTCAGCGAACACGGTAGGCAAAACATGATCGAATGGACCATTTGCATTATAGACTAAATTTTGATCTAAACAAGTCTAGACAAAAATTTCATGACACTACTTGAAAGAACACCGCAAAATTAGTAATATTCCAAAGTTTCGTTGCAAAATGTTGTAAAATGCGGATAATATAGCACTGCGAAGTTTGCCGTTTTTCAGTCATTTTGTATTACAAACGGGAAATTGACACATTTGACAGCCCCAAAGGGTATTGGGCTGTCAATTTCCCCCGCGTAATGCAAAATGATTGAAAAACAGCAAACTTCGCAAGGCTATATTATCCGCATTTTACAACATTTCGCAACGAAACTTTGGAATATTACTAATTTTGTGATGTTCTTTCAAGTAGTGTGATGAAATTTTTGTCTAGACTTGTTTAGATATAATGCAAATCATTGTCTGAGCAGTAGCGTGGGAAGATATATTAGTAAATTTAGGAGGACTGAGAACTGAGGGGTCCGGGACATGCTCTTCCGAAAAAAATTGAAAAATCGAAGCTCGGAAATGCCATTTCCTGTACTTTCTGGTACCGAATTGAAGAATTTGGACAACAAAAATGCTGCAAAAACTGCTTCATAATTAGTTTTGGTCAGTTTGTATGATTTGGTGGGGGCGTAAATCGCCAGTAAATTCAGCAGAGTTCGGGCGCACTCTCCTCCGCAGAGTCTGAATTATATAGGGATAATATGTAGGGATAATGTAGGGATAGTAGAGGACATTTAGTGGTGCGCGACGGGGGGTGAGATCGATGGTTGACGCGTTTAACTAACAATTACGTAATTTGTTTCCCAAGTAATATTACGTAATTTTACTAAAAATTCGTAAGGCTCTGCGGAGGAGAGTGGTTCGGGCGAACTATCTGGCGATGAAAAAAGCCCATGCACGCTTTAATCAAGACATATACGACTTAATCAAATTTTAAGGCGGCTTTGCCCCCTCTAAAAACTGTGACAGGTGCTGAAGCCCCCCCCCCCCTCCCCAGATTAAATTCACTTAAGGAATATATGACTGACCACGATGTTGCCAATTTTGTTCACTTTGCTGTTTAGACAGCTATCACTTGAAGCATTTTCGATTCTTCATATTACTGTTTTACTTCCGCCGCCCCTGCTAAATGCTATTGTTGCAAACGTCGTTCCGAAATTCGTTTCGAAGTTTAAACGTTGATAATGAAATTCACAATTTGCTGGTTTTGCATAAACTGACAGTTAAGTAACGTATTTTTTTTCAGCGTTAAATTCGAAACTGACACACCTGATATTGGATGAATAAAACTAAAAACCATTCAACGACTGGAAAACAATTGGAATTGACCTTGACAACTTCTTGGTGGCCTTGACAGCATCAGATTACGTCACCAACGTTGTTTTCAAAACAACAAAACGCAACCGCAAAACTTTAGCCAATCCAAACTCAGCTGGAAGGCGCAGTATGAACATTTGAACTTCGCAACGAAATTCAGAACGACGTTCTCATCATTTAGGGAAAAGGTCTATGAAATAAATCGAATGTTAATTTATATCCAATTCTAAGACTGAACTTTTATCTAGTACAAGAACTTGATAATGGCAGCATACTTTTAAGTATGCTGCCAGCAACGTGAAGGGACTAGCCTGCGAACAGGCTCTCAAGCTGAATTGAGAGCCTGCATCGATGACTAATGAATTTGAATATCTGCCCCGTAACGTTCGTTTTTCCAAATATGGAATATCTATCCTTATATGGTGTTGTTTACAACTTTCGTGCAAACTAAATTTAGACCGTGCAAACTAAATTTAGACCGTACAGTTTATACTGTTTTTCGAAAAAAAATGTTTTAAATACTGTTTTCTCAAAACAGAACATTTCGTGCTTTGAGATAAGACGGCCAAGACCAATTTGATCAGTTAATGTGTTTTTTATGCATAGTGCTTCATAGAGCTCAGCGGAAACATATAAATTATAGCATCTGACCAATTAGAATTTCGCGTCACGATTTGAGACGCAGATATTCAAATTCATTAGTCATCGATGCAGGCTCTCAATTCAGCTTGAGAGCCTGTTCGCAGGCTATGAAGGGACAGTAGCCTTATTTTTTGTGGAAGGGCAGTGTTAAAATTGTGCTGTGCTTGATTACTTGTAGCCAATATAGATAGACAAATTTTGGCATTGATTGAAACATTTTTGTTTGTTTTATGACCCTAAAGACTAAAATGTAGTGTAAAACAACATGACAGCTTGTCAATTATTTAGGAAGGCTTTCTTTCATACTTCTCATCTTCATGAGGAAACCTTGGTGAATTTCAGATTGAAATTTGAGTCAAATTGATTGCTTGAAAACAGTTGTCAATTTCAATTCAAGCGAATGGCGCACGATTTTCGAAGCGTAGGTCTTGTAAAAAAAGGGCAACCTGTTGCCCCCCGTGCTGCCGTCGCACTGTTAAAAAGGCGGCTGCCCAATCTAATTCATTAATTTCTTCATGATCACGAGCTTTTAATGATGTGACATAAAAGTCTGTTAACCGCGTCAACTGATGCAGAACGGTCGCTGAAATAATTAATTTTCATGTTGACGCTCTGTCAAGCAAATTTGTCCGCTCATTATCCACACAATAGAGAGCTTTATATTTGGCTATGAGTAGGGCACCGCTAAGAGATTCGTTGTTTGCAAACTCGCCATATTCGTAGCCATTTCGTATAATCACGCCATAATCTGTATGGTACACGCTAAAAACACACAACTGAGTTACAAAAAACCTAGCTGCAGGCTTGCAGCAATGTTGTTCCAATAACATGTTAACAGGATGTGTTCGCTTGTTGACAATTACGCAGTTGCTATACAAGGTTGTTGACCCAACAGACTTGTTCCAAGTTGTTGCAACAACTTGTTATCGACCTGCAATCCATCAATTTGTCAACAAGTTGTGACAATTTAATAAAATAACAGCATCGTTACAACTTGTTGGCAAGATTGCTACAAGCCTGTAGCGAACACTGATCAAATTGTGAGACTTTTACGTGTGCAGTAGTCAGATGCCTGTTTCACTACGAGACTTTTCAAAAATCCCGTTGTCAATCTGGCCAGGGCTACGAGATTTGAAAGTATACATGATGGCGTATAGGAAGCTGGCGTATCTCGTCCTAATAACTGATGGGCAGGTGTACTACTACCACAGATGAAGTATATACCAGATGTGTAACTGAATAGGACTTCGTGTCCTCAAATTTCCCTAGATGTACACGTCATGCTCACGCCATGTCACTTGCTAGGAAGATGGCGTCCTGGAAAACATGAACTTTTGCATTATATTGCGGCTTTTTTGGATCGAAATTTATGGATTAAACAATCAAGAGCATAATTTGTTGAATGTTTAAGGTTGTTAAAAGCAATTAAAGTTGTAGAAAATGTGTTGAAAACATTTTTGAAGGCAATGACGTACTACCAAATGACGAATAGTCACGCGAGTCACTCGCGTGACTATTCGTCATTTGGTAGTACGTCATTGCGGCGAGTGACACTTGCTAGGAAGATAGCGACCATGGGACAACTTTTTTACTGAAGTTACACATCTGTCCTTACTTAATCTATGCTACTACTGACCAAACTAAAATGCCCTTATTGCCCTGCGAATAAGCTTCCAAACTGGTCACCCGCTGTCTGACTCAGCATAATTATATCTAATTAATGCTGTTGTCACTGCTAAATAAGGGATACACAGATAGTACCTGCCAGTGTGGGCATACGATACGACACAGTTAAGCGACATTCATTCAGCCTGAATTAGACAATGTCCTCTATCGTGTTAAGTATCGTCAATCTTGCAACAAACGCTCTTTTCAACAATGTTTGCGACCGCATAGCAAATAGATTGAAGCATGGAGATTGTACGGATGAGAAATGTCGGCAGTTGATAAGTCGAGAACTCGATGAAATCAAAACAAAACTCAATGGCTTAGCTCGTAAAGATCTTCTAAGCAGCGTTTGCTTTCTTAAAGACGGTTTGTGCATTCTAAACCACACTTTTGAAGACACAGCAAACGAAAGTGAAGCTTACGAAGTCGAAAATAAACTGGAATACGTCGAGGAATGCCTGAAACTCGACGGCCATGAAGATTTACATTGGAAACAATCCAACGAAGAATTGCATTCCCAAATTGCAATATTCAACAAGGCCTTAAATCGTTCTTCACAGACGTTGGATGTTACGTCCAAAGAGCGTTTTATCTCGGCGAAGTTATCGTTTGAAAACGCCTACCTGAAAGCGACAGATGCTTTCAACAACGAAGCGCTAAGTACCACCGAACGGATTCTGGCAACAAAATTACGAGTGGTTTCCAAAATTTTGCAGTGTTTAGAAGATCCAGATATGGCGATAGCTTTTTGTAAGCTGTTTTTACAGCAGTTACACGAACTACCCGCGGTGAAGAAACGGTATGTATAGGGTAAACTTCCGGAAACACGATCATGTTTTCTTTGACAAGTTTGCTTAAATTTAAATTTCTCCGCGTGTGTACTCTCAACAAGTTTTCCTTCACAAGTTTCTCTTCACAAGTTTACCTTGCCCATGTGTACAGTCTGCCAGTTTTCCTTGTTTGCCAAAACCGTAGAAGTATTTCTTGTACATTTGTCTAGTTTTCCTTGGGCTTGGCGATCGTACACACCAACAAATTTTCCTTGTCCAATAGCTGGCATGACTGGTTTTGGAAAAAGGCAAGGAAAAATTGTCAATTTTTTGCCGTACACACGCGAATAATAAAACTTGTCACTGAGGAAAAATTGCCTCTCTGTGCGGTGCTTAAGTGTATTTGCATGTAAACTTTATTTAAGGATGCTGGTGACTGGTGTCATCAATGTTGGTTTTTGTGAGGGAGATACGTAGCGAATAAAATGCGCTTATAACAAAATCACTACATCTTAAACCGTTGTCTAGAACGAATAAGAGTTGCCTGGCAAGCCATGAGAGTTTTTTTTAATGAAAGAGCTAACACATTACAAAAGAAGTGAACGATGGCCCTTTTTATCGGAAGCCCTTTTTTAACGGGCATGCCACTTTTAATGAAAGAACGACAGCCCTTTTTAACGAAAGCTTTTTAACGTTTTTTAAAAAGGGCTAACACTGATTACAAATGAAATGAACGAAAGATGCAAAATAAACAATTAAATTACTATTTCTATAGCCCTTATCTAAACCGCATATTTTTAGTATGATCCAATAATCGTGCGTTATTAATCGATTCAGGCATAATGTTGTATAAGAAAATTACCGTGCAAGTATTGCGATCTATAGGAAATCTTTTAATTGTGATAAAAAAAATTTCAGGAATTCCCTTCTCGGTTTTGGGAGAGCTAAATCAGTAATATTGCAACTATTCCTAGGTTTACCGTCTTCTTTCGAGGCCAAATGAAATCCCATCTTAGCAAGAAGAAGCGAGTCGACAATATTCGTTGTGTGACGGAGTTGAATTACGCCCTGTACGAGTACGCGAAATCATTTGCGAAGACCGGTCTTGAAATTTTGGCATCTTGGCCCAAAATAAAGCTACGTGAGAAAGCGATTAATCCGTTGTTGGTCTCGAATAAAGTCCTGAAGAAGATGGCAAAGTCTGGATTACGTTCTCCCAACCAGTTTCTATTCAAAGAAATCAACAACTTCAAATGCGTTGCAGTGAATAGCAGAGGGGAAATAATTACGAATAGCAAAAGCGGTGACAGTTTGGAAGTGTTTTCAAGCGACGGAGGCATCGTAGGGTCATTCTGTTTTGATTCAGAGGACACCCAAAAGAACCATTTCGAAATACTGGCATTGGCTGTTGGTTCAGATGATTCTTTGCATGCCGTAACCCGTTACAAAACAGAGGACTCGTTTTACTACAAATTGTACGTATTCGATGCTAACCTTGACCGTGTTCAGCAACAAGTTTACCTGGAGTGCTTAACAGGTCCGGGCGAGAGTCATCACAGCGTGTGCATCGCTGTGGACGCAAACAAGAATATCTTCATCACAAAACAAGACGATGCCAAAGTCTTCATTTTCGACCGCAATGGTAATGCGAAAAACAGTTTCACACTACAAAGCTGGAATTTGATCAAGGACTTGAAAATTTCTACAACAGGGGATGTCATTGCTGTCGAGCTTGTGGGGAAAACCGTTGGAATTTATACCGAAGACGGTGCACTAAAAGAAGAGATCACTTTGCCTAGCTTGCATAAAGTATGTGGGCTGGCATTTGATCATATTGACAATAAAATCATTGTCCTTGCAGAGGTTCTTACTGGTTGTTTCCACGAGTATCGTTTATTGAGTTACTCTGAGTGCGGAGAGTTGGTGAAAACGTTGGTTTTACCTCGACAGAAGGGATCCACCGGATATCGTATTACGTCACATCCGAATGGTCCACTGGCTGTTGTACATGGAACTGGAGCTATATTTCTTCGCTATTAAGTAGCATAACACTATACGAACATTATAACTAGGTGGATTCACCAAGTGGAACATATATAGAAGCACTTGGTAGTCGACTGTAGAATGATAGGCAGCTATCGAAATAACTAAGCTGTGCACTTAATTACTACATGACGTATCTAAGTAAATGTGAATTCATCTGAAGTTGACGAATTTGTGCAGTAGCACTGCAGAAAACAATTAACCAAAATCCATCTATTTGCAAGTTTTTAAATATTATGCATGTATATATCACGCTCAGCAGGGGATATATCTCCTTTCATAAATTAAAAACTGGTATCGCCGTTTCTCTGAAGAACCGTATGTATATGTGTTCGACGCTCGACTGCTTAGAACCTATTTCAGTATAAATTTTACTTTAAAAGTGTTTATATTAAAGTTTACTTTGAAACCGTGGATAATTTTTACGCTTGAAAAAACATGTCGGGTTTTTATATTCCAGAATGCGACTACATTAATATATTTTTAACGTCTTTGATTGATCCCCGAGTAATAATAATGCTAGAAAAAGGCGTATAGCTAGGAATTCAGTTGTATTCCTGAATGTTTTGACATTTTTAATACACAGTACTTTTTTTCGGCCCATGCTCCCGCTAAGCTTCCTATTTAATAAACCATTGGCTAGCTAAACTTATAAATTGCAGGTTGTGCATTTTTTTAAAGTTTCGACTTGATAGACCCATATAATAGGTTTTCCCCACGCTAAGAGTCTGACGCTTGGGAATTAAAACAGTCGCAGCATGACTGTTTAATGTTCTCAAAGCATCAGTTGAAACTATTTTTATTTCAGCAATTAAAGGAACAAGGATTAAATAAAAGTAGCTACAAGTATATAGCTCGATACAGGGTTAACTTTACAAAATGCACAAGATACAACAGCAAGCTAATGGTTTATTGCATGCTGAGAACAAATTGAGTGGAACACAGGTGGCCGAGATGTGGGTGGTTGCGGGTTTCGACGATAGACTCGAATAAGTGCACGGCACGAGATGGGGGGGAAGGGGGGCAGCAGCCCACGTTGTTAGTTGTTACAGATCTGGAAACAAATTGTATAACAAGGCTGTTGTCAAGCCAATATCAGGGTGTGTTCGCACTGCTTGTTCCCAGTTGTTGTGACAAGTCTGGAACAAGTTGTTATCACCTTATTACAAGGTTGATGACGGTAATACACTTCCCAGCGGGCAAAATGAAGTTTATCCAACGTTGAATCAACGTTGGAAATGACCTTCCAGACGTTGGATATAGACGTTGAAAAAGGGTTGACTATGCAAATTGGATCGACGTTACTGTTTCGACGTTGAAACAACGTTGAAATTAGGTTGCCAATCTCGTCAACCATAATTCAACGTTGAATCAACGTTGAAACAACGTTGAGATTGGTTCACAAATCGACGTCGTACATTTAACCATGAATGAACGTTGATTCAACGTCTGTTGGCTGCTGTTGAACCAATGTTTGTAAAACAACGTCAGAGCAACGTAGATATTAGGTTGTCGACGTCGCAACCTTTCTTCTACCAAATTTCAACGTTGAAACAACGTCGTGTGCCCGGTGGGTTGCTACAAGTTGTTCCAACAAGACTAATTGCGTAATGAGTTGCCACGGGCTTGTTGTCAACTCAGTTAACAACTTGTTACGTGCAGTCGATATCAATCATGTTGGAATAACTTGCTGCGAGTTTGTTGATTTCATCAACCTTGTTATTTAAACAAGACGATAACAACTTTTTCCAGACTTGTAAACAACTGGGAACAAGAAGTACGAACACATCTTGTTGACAGGCTGTGAGATTTTTAAACACATACCTTACTTGTATATTTAAATCGCGCAGTACTAGAATTCACGCAGATCGTATATGCGCGGCGAAATTAAAACTGAAGGGAAAATGATCTCGTGAAAAGATTTGTTGTAGCATGCTCGAAAATTAATCCGCCTCTAAATGTTTGTCACCGTGACACAAAATAGTGCAAGTAATTATTATTTTCAAATATGCTATTACGAAAGTCACCGAACTGTGGAATCGCATCAAAAATTCGTATATCGACCACTCCCACAAACGTCTACGACCGCACCTACATAGTTTGCATGTTTACAATTCTAATTTTGAACAGCCAATCAGGTTCTTGGTAACAAATACAATTAAACGTCGATTGGCTGTTTAAAATTAGAATTATAAACATGCAAAAATATGTAGGCGCGGTCGTAGACGTTTGTGGGAGTGGTCGATATACGAATTTTTGATGCGATTCCACAGTTCGGTGACTTTCGTAA